TCTCCCCCGTGGGACAGCAGTTCTCTCACAAGCTCACGCAGACCCTGCAGCCCCTTCTGCCGATTGATCAGTTCCTCCCAGAATGCCCATTTTAAAGAAAGCCAGGCCAGCCGCGACTTCTTTCCTCTCCAGGCTCCAGCCCTAACTTGGCCAACGTTCTCTGCCACGTCCTTGCAAGGGTTCCTTCCCATTCCCCTGCTCTCCTCTCCTACTCTTCAGCCCGCCTTTGTCTATTGTCTGTCCCATTAGAACGTAAGCTCCCTGAGGGCAGAGGCCGCCTTTCTTTTTACTGCTGACTCCAGCACACTGACATTTAAGAGGAAGAGCCAGTGTGAAAACTTGGAGGTAGGGGAGCTTGTAAGGAGGCCAGCAGGGCTGAGTGCCATAGAGGACATGGAGAATCACAGGGAATAAGCCTGGAAACACAGCCCGGGTTGCAGGATAACATCTCTAAAGCTGGAAACCACCTCCTAACTTCATTTTACAGATGGGGAAACTGAGATCCAGGGAGGCAATGACTTGACCAAGGTCACACAGGGAGTAAGTGGCAGAGGCAGGATCTGAACCTGGGTCCTCTGACTCCACATGGTCTTGAAATGTCAAACCCAGGGGTGTAGAGTTGATCTGTGGAAGAAATAATCAGTCTTCTAGTCGTGTTTAGGGTTCACTTCCATTAGAGGAACGTAGATAACTGTTGATATATGTTATTATATATTAATATGTATGGATAACCAATAATATATCATTATATATTAATAACTATTAATATATTAAGTATTAATATTAGACTGAGATAGATATTTATTAATATTTCCAAAAATCACTGGGGAGCTTCTTCACTGGCACAAAGCCCCACGCCCGCTAAGCGCTGACTATCTTTCCACGGGGAGTAGACACGCTCATTTCTGGCTACAGATCTACAAAGAAAGGTCACAGACCAGGACAGAAGGTTTATCTCCAGTCATAAGGAAACAACTCAGAATTCTAATAGTCTTAGTCTAAGATGGGACATAGCAGAGACTGGCTAAGATGGGGGAGGAGGGAGAAGCAGCCCAGTCTGGCTCCTCCCTCAGCTTCTCGAACAAAAGAAGGCAGTGCTCCCTAGAGAGCCAAAATAAAGGAGAAATGACAGGAGTTGAGGGGCAGCTAGGTGGCGCTGCAGCGAGTAGAATGCCTCTCCCGGAGTCAGGAAGACCTGACTGGCCTAAACTCGTACTGGCTGTGTGACCCTGGGCAAGTCACTTAATCCTGTTTGCCTCGGTTTCCTCATCTGTAAAATGAGCTGGAGAAGGAAATGGCAGACCGCCCCAGTATCTCTGCCAAGAAAACCCCAGATGGGGTCACAGACAGTGAGTGAAAAACCGCTCAGTGACATTACAGGGGTTCAGCTTTCTAGCCCAAGATCATCAACTCAGTCTGCGGGCACTTGACCGGGACAAGTGCTCTGGAACAGGGATGTGCTCAGTGTGGGTATGGGTTTGGCTTGACTGCACTTAACGTTACAAGTTTTCCTTTTTTTATCCCCCGAATAGGGAAGAAGGGGAGATGAAAGGGAGAGAGGGTAGATGCTTGTTAACTGAAAGGAGGAGAAAGACTTGAGAACTCTGATCCAGGCAAGGAGCCCTGATTCCGGAGAACTACCCCCCTCCATCCAGAGAGGTGACCAAATCCAGGTGCAGGATGAGATTTACCTTTGTGGATGAGGCAAGTGTCAGGTGTATTTTGCCTGCCTACATCTTTTGCTACAAGAGTTTTTTTCTGTGGCAGCTTAGGTGGTGCAGTGGATAGACCACCAGCCCTGGAGTCAGGAGGACCTGAATTCAAACCCGGTCTCAGACCAAACACTTGACACCTACTAGCTATGTGACCCTGGGCAAGTCATTTAAGCCTTGCAAAAAAAGAAAAAAAAAGCAACTTTTTTGGGAGGGGTTTGCAGGTGGGGAGGAGAAAAATGCTTGCCAACTGAAAAAAAAATTTAAAGAACAAATTTAAAAACACACAATAAGAGATATATTATCTCAAGGACCCCTAAATGAGATGTTTTCTTTTATCATTTCATTCATTCCACATTTAATTTCTTTTTTTCTCAATTACATGTAAACAAAACATTTTTAGCATTAGTTGTTAAAAATTTTGAATTCCAGATTCTCTCCCTCTCTCCCTCCCTCTGTCCCTTCCCCTCTTCTCCCCCACCTCCTTGAGAAGGCAAGCAATTTGATATAGATTATACATGCACAGTCATCCAAAACATTTCCATATTAGCCATGTTGAGAAAGAAAACACAGACATAAAAAAAAAACCAAGAATAATAAAGAAAGCAAAAAAAAATAAGCTTCAGTCTTTATTCAGATTCCATCAGTTCTTTCTCTGGAGATGGAGAGCATTTTTCCCTGAGTCCTTCAGATCTGTCTTGTATCATTGTGTTGCTGAGAAGAGCTAAGTCATTCACTCGATTATTGTACAATATTGTCATTACTGTGGACAATGTTCTGGTTCAGCTCACTTCACGCTGTGTAAGTCTTCTCAGGTTTTTTGGAGAGCATCCTGCTTGTCATTTCTTATAGGACAGGAGTATTTCATCATAATCCTATACTACAACTTGTTCAGCCAATCACCAAATGATGGGCGTCCCCTCAATTTCCAATTCTTTGCCACCACAAAAAGTCTTGCTATAAATATTTTTGTACAGATAGGTCCTTCTCCTTTTCCTGTGATCTCTTTGGGGTACAGACCTAGGAGCGCTATTGCTGGGTCAAAGGATAGGCACAGTTTTACAGCCCTTTGGGCATGGTTCCAAAATGCTCTCCAGAATGGTTGGATCAGTTCACAACTCCACCAACAATGCATTAGTGTTCCAATTTTCCCACATCTTCTCCAACGTTTACCATTTTCCTGTTTTGTCATATTAGCCAATCTGATAGTGTGATGTGGTACCTCAGAGCTGTTTTAATTTGCATTTCTCTAATCCATAGTGATTTAGAGCATTTTTTCATGTGACTGTAGATAGCTTTCATTTCTTTGTCTAAAAACTGCCTGTTCATTTCCTTTGATTATTTATCCCTGAATAAGAGCTACATAATTTCTAAGCAAATAGTTTTAGCTTTCTTATTCTTATATTCTTAGAACATAGAGCATTTGCTTCATTTGATCACTATTTCTACTTTGCTGTTGGCTAATAATAATAATGTGATGCAATGGATAAAGTGCTGGGCTTGAAATCAGAAAGACCTGAGTTCGAATGTGACCTCAGACCGGAGCTGTGTGACCCTGGGCAAGTCACTTAGCTGCTGTCTGGCTCAGCTGCTTATCTGTGACATGAGGGTAATAACAACACCTGCCTCCCAGAGCTGTTGTGAGGATCGAATGAGGTCACATTTATAAAGTGCTTAGCACAGTGCCTGGCACATAGGAGGCACCATCTTTGCAAAGCCTTTTACATAGGTTTAGCTCATTTGAGCCTCACAACAACCCTGGGAGGTAGGCATTATTATTATTTCCACTTTACAGGTGGGGAAACTGAGGCTGAGAAGGGTTAAGTGACTTGCCCAGGGTCACAGAGCAGGACCCAAATCCAGTGGTTCCCTGTTACTTCCAATATTCAACCTAAAGTCTTGCGTTTGCCCTTCCCGACCTGGCTCCCTCCTACGTTTCCAGTCTTTTTAGATTTTACTTCCCTCCCACATCCCACCATCCTGATGCACTGACCCACTTACTGTTTCTTGGACGTAGCACTCTATCTCCAGACTCTATACCTTTACCCAGGCTGACCCCATACCGGGAATGCCCACCCTTCTCACCTCTGACTGTTAGCTTTTCTGGCCTTCTTCAAAGCTCAAAACCTACTCTCTTCTGGAGGCCTTTTTTTCCCCCCAGTCTAGAAACCTTCATTTCTAAATTTCTTTTCCATTTACTCTCTTTGTATCCCATATGTTTCTGTGTGGGCACAGGCTGTCTCCTCCGTCAGACTATGTGTTCCTTGAGAGCAGGGACTGTCATTTCTTTGTAGCCTTAGTACTTAGCACAATACTCCAGCACATAGTAGGTGCTTTAAAAATGTTTGCTGACTGAGTGACATTCTGTGTTCTTTGTTTTGCAGCCCAGCCCCGACATTCTGTGTTCTGGGATCTCAGACATCCTCATCCTCGACTCTCCAGCCCTAACACGCTGTGTGGTTCTCTGCTTCTAACCCGTCCTCCTCACCCCACGCAAGTACACTCTGTGGCTTCTCACCACTGACTCATTCGTGCTTTCAGAGATGTGTGTCACCAGGGAGGGAGCAGGAGGTGTGAACAGTAAACAGGAAGTCCCCTTTCTGTTCTGGAAGCCCTTTCTCTCCCTGCTTCTTCCCAGCACTAACCACTTAACCAACCGGGCTAGGCTGGGTTGGGCTGGGCAGGCATCCACAAGAGAGGCTCCAGAATGTCAGATTCTCCAAACTGAAAGGGACCTGGGAGACCGCTGAGCTCAAACGAGGCCTAAACAAGTATCTTCACTGTAATATCCCAGAGAAATGGCCATCCAACTTTGGCATAAGGAAAGGTCCCCTCCCTCCCTCAGCCTCCAGAATCCAGGCTTTCCCGAAATGGGGGTGGAGGCAAGTTAACCAAGATTTTCAGACTGGAGAAAAAGGTTCCCAGGACCTGGCGCTCTAGGTCTGTGGAGAAAGACATGGGACCTCTCGGACTGAAGGCCCCCACCCTGGTGAAGCCAGGAGCCACATACCGTTCTACAGTCACAGAACATGAGATCTGAAAGATATCTTAGAGATCACGGAGTCTAACCTCCTCATTATTTTCATTTACTTTCCAATACGTCCTCCCTCCCCCACCCAGAATGCTAAACCTCATATAAGATAGGAATGCGTGTGGGTTATCTAAATATATACATGTGGCTCACCAGTGACATGGTGTGTGGTGATTTGTCCTTCATTCTCGGAGAGGACTATAACGTCAGGAAGGCGAGGCCATGACTAGCAAGTGAGCTGGATTTAAGTGAGGGAGGGCTGTGCAAAGTCACCAGCCTCACTCCCTCCTCTGGAGCCATTGGCCAGATCTAGAGCAGGACCGCTGGAGATGGCACCGGATGCAGTGGGAGATGGTCTTTTTTCAATGACGTGGATAGATACGATTTGAGGTCTGGCTCACCTTTGCAGCAAGTAGAAGGACCTGCCTGCACCACTAAAGGACAGGTAAGGTCTAGGACCACCAAAATTCTTCTGGCTCCACAAAGTGGCTGGTACTAGAATACCAAACTAGATCAATCTGAAACCCCTCAAATATCCCTGGTTTAGGGGCATGATAGGCTCAGGATAGAGTATGGGGCTGAAGTCGGGAAGATTCATCTTTGTGAGTTCAAATCTCGCCTCAGACATTTACTAGCCATGTGACCCTGAGCGAGCACTTCACCCTGTTTGTCTCAGTTTCCTCCTCTGTAAAATGAGCTGGAGAAAGAAATGGCAAACCACTCCAGTATCTCTGCCGAGAAAACCCCAGATGGGCAGACCCAGCTGGAATAACTCAACAACACATTTGCTTTTGCCTAACTGAAAATAAAAATGCTGCCGAAACTGTAGTTTGGGCTCAGAAACCCGATTCCCTACATATCTATGTGGGAATGGAGAGCCCACTTCTCCTCTTAACTTTGGACATTCCTTGTGACTCAGTAATAGTTGCCATCCAATTGACTTTGCTGAAATCAAAGTTCCACATGTAAGCACTGTTCAGTCTTGCAATTTTAGGCCAAATTCCTTAAGAAGTATCATTAAGTATGTAGCAAAAGCTCATCCTCAAAGCCATTTAGCGTTTGGTTACACTGGTTGGGAGCAGTTCTTCTCATTCACAAAAATTTCAGTCTTGGCCCTAAACTCAGCACACCATAATAAGTGTTTTTTCTCTTCTTTTCCTATTTTGATGTGATGGGTGTGCACTGATAAGATGTCACGGTAAAGTGATAGCATGGCACATGAAACACTGCATGCCGATGATTTGTGGGGTGCCGGAGATGCCCTGGGGGCAGAAGGCAGGGAGCAGGGAGCAGGGAGGGTGGAGGAGGGGGCTCAGGAACTCCTCCCCTCTTCCCTTCCTCTTCATTTCCCTGTTTCTGTCTACCCATCCTCGCAGGCCCTTTTATGACCTCAGTCCTTCTTGACTTTCACCTTTCCTGCCAAGTCCTCTTTCTACTTCCCCTATTCACTCCATTCTCCCCAATTCAACCCCCAATGCAGCTGCTGAAATAAGACTTTTTTGAACTGTTGCAAAGGAAAAAGGCAAAACCAAGAGAAGGATACGCAAGGACCAAAATAACGTAAGTGGATTCAACACATAAAGGCAGCCAGATTTAGTTGCCATGACCAATCTCGGTCACCAAGAACCTACTTGCCTCCTCTTGGCAGAGAGGTGGGGGGACTGCGGTCGCAGGGTCTTGCATTTCCTGTCCTGTCTCATCACTTTGCAGGGGCAAAAGCCTAACTGTCTTGCTTTGATACAAGAGGGTTCGAGGGAATGGCAGCTCCCAGAGGTAGGGATTGTTTTCCTTTTTGTCCTTTCCTCTCCAGCATCTGCCTGGTGCCTGACATGCAGGGGATAGTTACTAAGTGTTTGTTAAATGTGAAAACAAGCGAGACGTTCAGTGGAGAGGATTTGATGAGAAGTGAGTGCAGTAACATAGGAATCAAAGACATCGATAAAGCTCTTTAAACAAATTCTTAAGCCACAAGTCTGAGCATGTCCCTCTCCTACTTCAGAGAGAAATCCCCAGGAAGCATTCTCTGACCTTCACTTGAGCACCGCCAGGGAGGGAGAGCTCTCACCTCTTGAGGCAGCCCCTTCCACTTTGGGACAGCTCTGATGTCTCACTTTACCTCTTTGTAACTCCCCTCCGTTGTGCCCGCTCCTCTGCTTAGGGCAAGCACAGCCGTTTTTTTCTTTTCCCCATGAGGGTCTTTCCAGTACCTGAATTCTGTTCAACAAACATGGGTAAAGACGAGATTGGAGCCAAATTGTGGTGGGCTAGAGAGGAGAGGCTGGGGGGGGGTACGCTCTGTCCTGGAGGCAGTGGGGACCGAGGGAAGTATTTGAGTGAGGAGGGAGTCACAGAAATATCACTTTGGTCACTGTGAGGAGAAAGGAGTAGAGATAAGGAGGGACTAGAGATGGGGTGGTCATCCAGGTGGTCCATGCAAGACAGGAGATGAAAGTCTGAATTGAGATGGTAGCTGCCTGAGTGGAGAGGAAGGGATGGATGCAAGACATGTTTCAAAGGGACGTTTGACAAGTTTTGGTAATCTTGGGAAGGACCCAAAGGCAAGGATGGCAGAGATGGACCGTGGAGGCGGAGGGCCAAGATGGAGGGGAACAGGAGGAATTTTTTCTCCTCTACTCCTTTAATTCTGAAGCATGAAGGTGAAGTAAATAGGAGCTGGGGATGGGCCTATCTTAGGATGGGGAAAGAGCAGCTGGGACATGGGGATGTCCTGCGGAGCTGGAGAGCAGAGTTAGGAGAGGCCCTTGTGACCTCTGACTCTTTGAGGACCAGGATCTCTTAGAATTCTGAGACTATGACAGGGAGAATGAAACTGAGGATGACATTGAACCTAAGTGACCGGCAGCTTGGGGGGCCTTTGGCACAAATAGGGACGGTCAGAAGGGAGCTGGGGTTAGCAGGGACGACAATGAGCTCTGTTTTGGACATGTTCAGTCTAAGCTGCCCATTGGGACATCCAATCTGAGACGTCCAAGAGGCAATTAGTGCTATGGGACTGCGGCTCAGGAGAGAGGCTGGGGCTAGATATATGGATCCAGTGATCGTCGAGAAAGTAGAGAGAGAAGAAAAGAACACCCCAGACAAAACTTGGGGATGTCCAAAGCAAAGGGCCCTGCAGCGCCTCATATGCACCCGAGCTGGGGATCTCAGGTGGTTGGGAGTTCCCCTTGGAGAGGGGGCCACTGCCTTCAATCCAGTCTGTCTCTCCTCTGGCTTAAAGCTGAGGCCCTTCTCCTTCCCAGGAGCTCTCCTCTGGAGAACTGGGCACATAACCGACCAGGTGTGGCCTGACCAGAGCAGAGGACAATAGAACAACATGGCTCTCATGGCATCACTTTCTTGGCTGCAGCAATGCACCTCTCACTGGGCTTGCTGGCCACTAAAACCCGCTGGACTTTTGCAGGGAAAAAACTGCCCAGCCATGTTTTCCCTATCCAATAGGGACCTTTCCCAAGGCAGGATGGGAATCTCCCCAGTTCACACTTCGAAAGCCAGCTAATGTCCCGCCCTGATACCCACCCAGCCCCATCCAACCCCCAAGAGGCCGTGGTTCAGGCTGCCTCTGCTTCTCACCCCCTCAAATTTCCAGGTTGCTCAGGAACCAAGGGCTCTTACACCCGCCCCCAGGTTTCCCCCTCCCTGTTTCCTCTCTGGTAGGGCCTATGAGTGCCCTCCCTGCCCGCTGTTGAGGTCGGTGGCTGGCTTCCTGGCTGCACTTGTCAGCCTTGCTGCTCTCGCTTCACTTCTCAGATAGCTCACTGGCTACGTGATGCTCCCCACAGAGTTCTCTTGCCTCCTGGGGCTGCTGGCCACAGCGGGCCTTGCCTGGAACCCCTACCCCGCACTGGAGCAGGTGAGCCCCCGTGAAGTCAGCACCCCGTTTTCTCTTTCTAGTGCATCCCGATTCAGATTCTGCTACCTGCCCACACCAGTCTACAGACTTCTCCCTGGTCCTTTGGCCCTTCCCTTCAGTCTCACTTCAGCATCCCGATGTCCCTCTCAGCCTGTGCCACACCCCTCTGCCCTGCGTCCAGATCCGGTCCTACCATTCAGAGCGCCTTGCTTTCCTGACTTCCTGCCTCCCACCCCTTACCCCAGGTCCTCCACCAACAGCAGGAACGACACTGAGAAGACTTTGGGGACAGCAATGCATTTGTTGTAAGGGAGGTTAAAAAGCCCTGGATGAGGGTGGCTAGGCCTGGGCCGTATCCCTGGCTCTGCCACGCCTGGCTGTAAAAGTCACTTTCTCGTTCTGTGCCTCAGTTTCTCCACATCCACAATGAGACTAAGAACCTTTGCTGGTCTCTGAAGGCTCAGCCCAGATGGGTACCCAGCTCCCCAAGCCCAGCCCCTCAGCAGGGGCTGGCAGCGGAGCCTCCCTCCACACCCACCCTCCCTGCCTTCCACCCAGAGCTTCCGTGACCTGACGCCAGTCACCTGGGACCCCATGGAGCAATTTAAGGCCTTTCAGATCCAGTATAACAAGAGCTACCCGGACCCAGCAGGTGGGACTTCTTGTGTTCCTTCGTGTCTGTGCACATACATGTATATCACAGGCACAAACCAATGGGCGGCACCCTGAAGGGACATGTGTGTGCATTTGCATGGGTGGCACATGTTTGCACATGCGTGTGGGTATACAGATGTCTTCATGTGTGTGCTATGGCATGGGGGCTTCTCTGGAGCTGTCAGCTTTCCATTGACCCTAGCACTGGCCAGGAAGCCAGCAGAACCACGTCTCCTTGTAAGATAAGGGTTTAGACGAGGACGTGGTCTCCAAGGTGCCTCCCAGCTCTGACATCCTGTGTTCTCACGTTTGATGTTCTATGTTCTAAGTCCCCTTCTCCCCAGCTGACATTTTGTGTTCCACGTTCTTGGATCCCTACCAGCTATAACACCCCAAGTTTCATGTTCAAAGGTTCTGTATCATTCCCCCTATTCTCTCTAGCACAGAACCTCTTGCTCTAAGCCCTCCCCCCTGCCACAGACACACTCATCCCCTCAGAGACAAGTGTGAAAAGGGGGGCTGGTAGTGTGAAGAGTAAACAGGAAGGTTCCTCTCTGTGTGTATCACGTCCTGCCTCCCTGCCCTCAACCTTTCCATGGTCAGTGGCCACTTACCTGATCTGAGGTCAGCAAACCCTACACCCCTGGGGTCATCAGGGATGACCTCTCCCACTCTGAGGGGGTGTGTGTGTGTGTGTGTGTGTGTGTGTGTGTGTAATCATTGGAATTTCCATAGCTCTGTTAGGGAAGGTCTTTAGTGACCTGGGCCCCCTTGTAGGTGGCAAACCAAATCTTACCAGAATGACTATTATGTGAATATGACCTCATTATTAAGCCCGTTTTACAGATGAGCAAACTGAGGGTCAGAGGAGTGATGCCCTTCCATCCCCATACAGCAGGAGCAGACCAGAAAGGGAGGGTGTCTGACGGGAGAGATGAGAGCTATGGAGGGGTTGTAACCCCCCTCACTTGGGAGGAGGTGAGGGGCAGGGCAGGTGGGCCTGTAGGGACAGCAGTTCAATGGCCTTGGAGGGGGAGTCATGTGACAGCATCCCCCATGGGAAAGGATGCAGATGCTCCTGGCTGTGGGCAGAGGGAGGTCCAGGTGTCCTTCCTCTTCCTATCTCCTCTGCAGAACAAAAACGGCGTTTAGAGATCTTTGTGGACAACCTGGCCTGGGCCCAGCAGCTAACGAAGGAGCATGGGGGCATGGCCCAGTTTGGGGTGACCCAGTTCAGTGACCTCACAGGTAAGGGGGCCCCAATCAGAACCAAACTGAAGAATCACCTCTGAGGGTCAGGCTCCGGGGGCCGGCCAGACAGAGGCTCCAAGATCTGTAGCTGGAAAGTGCCTGAAGGACATCTGAGGGGCAGCTAGGTGGCGCAGTGGATGGAGCACCGGCCCTGAAGTCAGGAGGACCTGAGTTCAATTCCAGCCTCAGACCAAACACTTGACACTTACTAGCTGTGTGACCCTGGGCAAGTCGCTTAACCCCAACTGCCTAAAAAAAAACAAAAACCTAAAGGATATCTGGGCCAATCCTCTGTCCCATTTTACAGGTAAGAAAACGGAGGCTTGGGGAGGGTAAGTGGCTTGCCCATCGTCACATAGGCCATGAATGCCAGAGCAAGAATTTGGACTGAGGTTTTCCTGACTCCAAGTCCAACATTACAACTTCCTATCATCCCTCATAGCAAGTTTTTCAATTTCAAGTCCCCAGTACTTCAGGGTCTGCTACAATCCCTGCTGGGAGGCACACGAAGATTACTGTCCATGGCTTATAACTGAAGAAATCAAGGCCCGGAGACAGGAAAAAACTTATCCAGGAGCACCCAGGTTGGGACAGCAAGGTGGTGCAGGCCTGGAGTCAGGAAGACCCGGGTTCAAATCCGACCTCAGACACTTATTAGCTGTGTGACCCTGGGCCAGTCATTTAATCCTGCTTGCCTCAGTTTCTTCATCTATAAAATGAGCTTCAGAAGGAAATGACAAACCACTCCAGTCCCTCCGCTAAGAAAACTCAAATGGGGGTCACAGAGAGTCAGACATGACTGAACCCCCCCACCCTCCCCCAGGGAAGCAAAGGCAAAGCTAGGGGTAGAAAACAAAGATCCTTTCTTCCCATCTGCATCTCCCTCCTTCCGTTCCCTTCCTTTCTTCCTCTCTCTATCCCAAGCTCTGACTTCAACACATCTAGGCATAGTGTTTCGCTTGGCCAAGCCTCCTCCTCCTCCTTGTTACAAACAAGCTCCTTGTCTAGATGCCAGACAAGAAGGATGAAACAGGAAGCAGTGCCCTATGTAGCTGAGCTCACAGCCCGACCAAGCAAGTGTTGGTAAAGGCTGCCTGCCAAATTTTGAAGCTCTATTTTGCTTCCTTTGAGAAACACAACTGTCTCAATTCTGCCATGATTTTATGTGTGCAGGAAACAGTGGAAAGAGTGGTGAACTTGGACTCATTACTTCCCCTCCATGGACATCAATTTTCTCATCTGTAAAGTGGAAGGATTAAACTGGATGTGTCTGGGTTTATGCATCCATAAGTGGGTCTGCCACTAAGTAAACTGTGACTTCAGTCAGTGCCTCCCCCCCTCTCTGAGCACCAGTTTATATAAAATTAGAGAAGAGTGATCCCTAAGAGCTAACATTGTGACTAGAAATGGGAAAGGATGGCGCATGAGGTCAGAGTCTTTGGATCTATGGTCACTGAGGCCCTCATTTGTCCGCACAGAGAAGGAATTTCGCCAGCTTTATCGACCAGCCCAGCCCAGCTGCTCAGATCCCAGGCCTAAGACGGGAGGGCATCCAAGATTGCAGAGGCCGCAGACTCATTCCTGTGACTGGAGGAAGGCAGGAGTCCTGAGCCCTGTGAGAGATCAGGTACCAGCTCCCGCCCCAACCGCCACCTTCACTTTACCCCTATCACCCCAGCTAACTTTTGTGTCTCCTACCATCCCCAACCAGACCATCTTACTAACCTTAATTCTTGAACCAAGATACCTCCTAGCCCTTCCCCTGACACCCTCAAAGGAGCGGGTGCCTGTCACCAAAAACTCTCCTCTTCTTCCCTCCTGGATGGACAGAGGGATGCAGAAAGCAGGGATAGGGAAACCAGCTAGGGCAAAAACCGACCTCTCCCCGCAGGAAAATTGCAACAGCTGTTGGGCCTTCGCAGCCGTGAGCAACGTTGAGGCCTTGTGGGCCATCAGGTACCAGCAGAATTTCGAGCTCTCTGTGCAAGGTATGGGGGGCTGCTGCTTAGGCATTGGGGCATCCATGGGGATGGGGTCTCCAAGGGCAGGACTGCCCCCGTGGCATCAGTGTGAGATGAGTGGGCATGCTGGAGCTTGTGCAGGCTCCCAGTAACCTTGGCTTTCCCCCAAGATTCTGTCCTGGGCTCCCTTCTTTTCCTTCTGTGCCATCTCACTTGGTGACCACATCAGCTCCGTCACCGCCACACAGATGGTTCTCAGATCTTTATAGTCTGCTCGAATCTCTCCTGGTTTCCATCACCAATTTCCTGCTTGGCATTCCCGACTGGATGTCCTTTAAGCATCTTCAATATCTCACACAGAACTATCTTCTCCCCAAGATGCACTCCTCCAATTTTCCTCTTTACTATTGCCACCCTCCCACTTGCCCAGATTTGCGGCCTCAGGAACATCCTAGACTTTTCCCTCTCCCTCATTCACCACATCCAGTAAGTCGCCAAGTCTCAGCTATTCCAATCGACAAATTAATAAGCATCTACTCGGTGCCCACGCTCAGAAGCTTACACTGTACTGGGGGGAGGAGAGAAGAAATATATTATGTTCGTAGGTAATTAAATACAGGATATATACAAAGATGTCCAATGTGATGAGGAAAGAAGGCCCTGAGGGGAGATGGAGTTTCCAAGAGCTAGGGTTGAGGACATATGGGGCACAGCCTATTCAAAGTACCAAGGGGGGAGATTTCATTTTGTCTCCTTCCTCAAATGATCATGAATATCTGTACGGACAATATGTCCCTCCAGGAGCTTGTGGAGGGCAGGGACTATTTTGTCTTTGTATTTCTGTGTGTAGCATGGTAGTAAGTGCTTAAGTGCTTTTTGGATTGGAACAGGGATAAGGAAAAGAGGGCTGGACCTGGATTTGGGAAACCTAGGTTTGGATCCTGGACCTCAGCAGGTCACGCAACTTCTCCTCACCCACAACATGACAATCTTCCCTCCCACCACCTGCCTCAGGAGACTGTCCTGAGCAGCCCCTGGCAAACTATAGAAGGCTGTAGAAATTGGGACTGTGACAATCTGGGAGAAAGCCCAGGGCAACCGAGCTCCAAAGTCAAGCTCCGGCCCCTTCCTCTTACTAATGAGGTGACCGGACCCGAAGAGGTCACACAGGCAGGAAATAGTGCTGGGAGCGCTGGAACCCAATTTCTGTGTGTACATTGGCCCTGGGTCAGCACCTTGAGCTGAATGGGGATGTCTGAAGGCTGCCTGGTCCTTGGTGAAGCGAGGTCCTCAGCAAGCCCAGGTTTTGGGTGTCCACATGGACAGTGAGGTTGGGGGATGTATGTGTGTGACTGAGGCACCTTCTCCCCATAGAAGTGCTGGACTGTCACCGCTGTGGACGAGGCTGTGAGGGCGGTTACATTTGGGATGCCTTCACAACTATTGTCAACCAAAGTACGTGCACCCCACAATCCTGGGGGCCCAAAGACTCCATCCCCCTGGGACAGAGGCCCGGGCCCAGGAGAGGATTCTGGGGGTCTGGCTCTGGCATGATGTGGGGGACTTAGGGGTGTGTAGGGGGTGTCACGGGGGGGGGCCTGAGTCTCCTCCCTCCCAACTAGGCGGCCTGGCCGAGGAGAAGGATTATCCCTACAAAGCCCAGCTGTCCCACAATGGCTGCCAAAAGAAAAAGAAACAGGCCTGGATCCATGACTACTTCATGCTGCCCAGGAAGGAGAACTGTGGGTCAAGAAGCTTGTCAAAGCCAGGACGCACAAAGGGGCTGGCCCCCATTGCCACTGGGAAGCGCTGGAGGGCTGCTAGGCCAAGAGCTCAGATCTGCTCCTGGTGCCAGCTGGCCAGACCTTGAGTCTGTCCTTCCCATTGATGAGACTCAGCTCCCACGTATACAGTGCAGATAATCCCTCCCTACTTTGAAAAAGTGCATTCTTATCCTGTTCTATGTACCAGGTAGACAGGTGGTCGCCAAACCCAGGAAGCTTCAGCGGAATCAGCTGCTCCCGGTGGTCTGGGGGCCAGGCCCCTGCGGCAGATGCTCACTTGTGAAAGCATTTGGTGGCTAGTAGAAGTGAGGGGTGTCAGCCTGGAGTCCTAGCTCAGCCTCATAACCACGGGAGGGGGAAAGCAGGAATGTAACTGGGAGGGAGCGTTGGGGGGGGGCTGCAGAAGCCTCAGAGCCAAGGGCTGGGGCAGGTCTAAAATCCACTGAGACCTCGGACACCCCTTCCCCTTCTGCAGAGATGAGGGTGTGTCTACAGGCTCTGCTCCTCCCCCTCCCTCATTCTAGGAGGCTAACACCTGCCTTTCCCACAGACATGGCTCAGTATTTGACAGAGAAGGGACCCATCACTGTGAACATCAATTCGAGACTCTTACAGGTGAGGATGGGGGGCGGGGAAGGGCTGCCCTGAGGCTGGCTCGTGGACCTTGGCCCCCCATGACTCACAGACTCTACCCCCTCTCCCATCAGAACTACAAAACAGGGGTGATCAGACCGCGGCACGATTGTGATCCCCAGTACTTGGACCACTACGTGCTGCTAGTGGGCTTTGGCCGGAGTGAGTGTTTGGGGGCGCCCTGGGGGGACTTTGGTCTTAGCTTAGGGTGTCCCCCATCACTCTGGTTTCTGATCTTCCTCGCAGTCCACAACTTCACCTACTGGATCCTAAAAAACTCCTGGGGCAGCAGCTGGGGAGAAAAGGTGAGGCTGGAAGGGGAGGGGGCGGGGGCAGCAAAGGTCAGCTGGGCCTGGCGCCCCACCCCGCCCCCGCCTTCAGCTCCACCCCCCACCTCCCCAGGGCTATTTCCGGCTGCATCGAGGGAGCAACGCCTGCGGCATCAACAAGTACCCAATCACTGCTCGGCTGGAAGGAGGCCACGCCCCCCGCTGCCCCCGCTAATGACTCCCACCCCGCCCCCCCACGGTGCTCAATCCCTGCAGAGCGTCCCGTGCAGAGCTCAATAAAACTGCTGGACCACGGTCTCCGAAGTGAACTGGCAAATGGAGGGGAGGGAGAGCTCATTGAGAAAGAAGGGAACTTAGAACGGGGGACAACGTGGGAGCCGGAAAGAGCCTCGGAAGAGTCCATCGGGGGACCTCCAAGCTTACCAGAGAGACTGTGGCCCAAGGCCCCCAAGGAGGGCTATATCACCTCTGCAGGGGTCAGCCCGAATGGTTAGGAATACATGGGGGCTGAATACAGAAAGAGGAGAGACAGAAGAGAGGAAGAGGGGGACAGGGAGAGGGAGAGAGAGAGAGAGAGAGGAGAGAGAGAAAGAGGAAGAGAGAGAGAAGACAAGAAAGAGAGAGGGGAGGAAGAGGGGGAGAGAGAGGAGAGGGGAGAGAGAAAGAAAGAGAGGAAGAGGGGGAGCGAGAGAGAGGGGAGGGGAGGGAGAGGAAGAGGAAGAGAGACAGAAAGAGAGAGAGAAGACGAGAGAGAGGGGAGATAGAGAAAAAGAGAGAGGAAGAGGGGGGGGGGGAGTATCTCCCTATCCCTGGAGGTTGAATGCACGCCAAGCCTGGCCACACGTTCTATTGCTGACTCATACTGGTGCTCTTCAGAACAGACGGCTCTCTACCCTCAAATGCATGACTCCTCCATCTCAAGCTTGTGAAGCTTGTTTGTTATGTCCTCATGTAGTCTCACGTGGGTAGTTTGGCGGCACAGTGTGCCAAGTGCTGGGCCTCCTTGAGTCAAGGAGACCTGGGTTCAAATTTGCCCTCACACACGTACTAGCTGTGTGACCTTGGGCAAATCCTTTAACCTGTTTACCTCAGTTTCCGCACCTATGTCTGAGCATCCAATAAGATACATGATTGCACAGTGCTTAGCACACTGGAAGCGCTAGAGACATGTGAGCTGCCTTAGTGCGGGCTTTCCTTGAGTGCTCAGGCCAGTCGGGAGCCTCTCGAACCCTCTCCTGGCAGTGTTAGTTCTGCTTCTCAGCTCTGACCTTTATCCAGCACCCGGCTCAGATGCCCCAGACCCTCCCCTGGAGACCTCTGAGCCCAGCCTAGTCCTGAAGCCATCTGACTCCATCAGGGTCTATCCCAGCTGTTCTTTACCTGGGGTCCATGGACAGATTTCAGGGGAGATAGGCGCATCTTTGAACTCACAAGGGAAAAACCCATTTCTTTTCACCAACCTCTAAGTGAAACGTAGCATTTCCTTCCATTACGGATTTGAAAAACAGTAGCTAGGACTCTGAGAAGGGGCCCCCGAGTTTTCCCAGCCCCCCTGCCGGGACCACAACACACAATGAGGCAAAGAAGCCCTGCTCTCATCCTGGTCTCCCCCTCCCCCCAATGCTTCACAAAGAGCTTTCCTGATGGCTCAGTGAACTCAGCCTCCCTCCTACTGGACAGATGAAGCGGCCTCAACTCAGATCATCAGGGCAGCCAGGGGGCATGGTGCACAGAGCACCAGGCCTGGAGTCAGGAGGACCTGAATGCAAATTCAGCCTCAGACACTTCCTAGCTGTGTGACCCCCAGCAAATCACTTCACCCTCTCTGCCTCAGTTTCCTCATCTGTAAAATGAGCCGGAGAAGGAAATGGCAAACCAGTCCAGCATCTCTGCCAAGAAAACCCTCAGTGGGGTCGCAAGAGTCGGACATGGCTGAAACAATCAAACAACTTAGAATGTGGAGCACCAGACCCAGGGCCAGGGGGTTGGGAGAACCTTGACCCCAGAACAGCAGAATTCGAAGGAGCCTGAGAGTCCAGGACCCACCGCAGAGCTCAAAGGGCCTCAGAGGTGATTTCATCGTGGAAGAGGGGGGGCCTCAGCCGCTCTCAATCCTGCCCCCTCCCTGCCCCCATCCGGATGCCATCACTCCTCCCAGGATCCTGTTTCAGGCCCAAGAATCACCTGCGGTCAGACTCCCCAGAGTCAGGGCTCACCCCAGGTCTGCCAATTTATTATCAGCACAAAGAGGGGCTTTGGCCCACACGAGCCAGGGAGCTGGTGAACCTTGGGGTCAGGGGCTGAGCTCCCCACCCTGGGCCGCAGCTCCCCATTCCTGCAGGAGGGCAGGAGGGGCCCCAATTTTATCCTGGGCCTGGGCTCCCACCTGCCAGCAGGGGAGACGGTGGGCTGAGCTGCCCTCTCTGGGCCTAGGTTCACCCTTCACCCCCTCCCATAGGCAGGGCAGGGTGTCCTGGCCCTAGAGACAAGGGCTGCGCTGTCCTGCAGGGCGGGCCGAGGCTCCTCAGTCATGATACATACGAAGGAGACAGCTGCGAAGGGTGACCATGTAACGATCCCAGAGGGCCTGGTGCCTGGCAGTGGAGAGAGGAGTCACTAGAGAGGGCTCAGTCCCAGCAGCCCGGGGCCTAAGACACAGGGCCTGCCACGCAGCTGCCGCTGGGGATGAGGGTGGGGGGGAGTGGGGCAGGGGCCCTCACCGAAAGCCATCTAGGGAGTGGACCGATGCTGAATACTGGTTCAGGAAGAGCCGGACGTCATTCAGCGGCCAGCGGTCGGAGCGGCACGGTTCTATAAACTTTGGGGAGACAGAAGGCCCAGCTTCACACTCCCCTCCTCCTGACCCAATCCTTTCAGCCACAAGTCACAACTGACAGGCAGAATGGGAAGAGAGGAGGAGGCAAAGGAGAGCCCCATGTGATAGTGAAGGGAAGGTAGGGGGCAGTCCCACGACAGGGGGGATCCCCACCTTCTCAACAAGGTCCACAAACAGGTCCCGCACGTCCTTGGTGTGGGTGAGCTTGGAGGCGATGTTGACCAGCCCTCGGGACAGGTTCTGTGGGGCCAGGAAGCCAGGGGTCCTTGAGCCTGTCCCTCTCAACCCAGGGATTCCAGAACTCCAGGGCAGGGGGACCCCCCTTTCTACAGACCCGACCCCCCACCCCGGGCCTGTCAGGATCAGCAGCAGCATCTCCCATAGTCACTACAAGAAACCAGGGTGTGTGCAGCCAAGCTAGGGAAGGCCAACGGAAGGTCTGGCAAGAGCCCTGGTCCAGGGTGTCAGGAGCCTGGGCCCTGGTCCTGACCCTGAGGAAGGTGCTCCCCTCTTTGGGCCTCTGGAGAGACAGCAGGGTGGGGGCCGGAGGCTCTCAGCCCTTCCAGAGGGTTCAAGATTCCTTACAGTTTACAGCCCAGGGGAGACGGACCTTGAAGTTGGCTTCCATCTCTGGGAAGACGCTAAGTTTCCCTCGGAGAGCGGTACACACCAAGCTGTGAGGAGTAAAGAAGCGGCCAGTGCTGGGCCCGGACTCGTCTCCCTCTCCGGGCCCTGAATCCTCTCCCTCCCTGCTCCTGCCCCAGACACCTCTTGTGCAGATCGAGAAGGTCCTTGTCAGCCACCAGCACCTTGAGCTCCTTCAGATCCTGAAGAAATTCCTTGTCCAAGTCTACATCCATGTCATCCACCTGAGAGTCTACAGAGGGGTCCCCAGAGAGCAGGGGGAGAGCCGGGTGAGGCCTGGGCACTGGCTACCGGCCGCCACATCTGGCCAGAGCCTGGAGAGGTCTGGGCCTCTGGCAGAGGAAGGCAGCCTGGCTGGCTGGGAAGCCCTTGCCTGGAAGCCTTGATCATTTACAGGCTGGGGGACCATAGCATGGCAGACTTGAGTCAGGAGGACCTGGGTTCAAACCTGCCTCAGACAGTGACCAGCAGTGTGACCTTGGGCTATCCCTTAACTGGGCCTCTCAGAAAATGAGGTTAGATATGAAAGCCCCAAGGGTCCCCTCCGGCCCTAATCAGTGATCCTGTGACTCAGTTTCCCTCTCCAGGGAGGGATGGGACTGAAGTCTGGAAGATCTCTATGCTTAGCTGTTCCTGCTCTAGGTCTTAGGGTCCCTCCCCACATTAGTCTGTGCCCATCTGAGCCCTGGGAAAGGAAAATCAGGTGGGACCCAGAGTCAGGTGACCATTTTGGGGGCAGGGAATGTGTGTGGAGTGAGTCAGGGCATTGGAAACTTCCTGACCTGGAACTTTCTTTGGGTGGGGGTGGGGTGGCTGCTTACCCACAACAGGGATGGGAGAGGGGCTGCTCACCCACAGCGCCGGGTGTCCAGTTTTGAATCATCAGCTCAGCACAGAAGGCCAAGTCCCCAAAAGTCAGATACTGCAGCTTTTTCTTCCCCGTCTCAAAGCGGTTGTTAGCGAAGAAGACGACAGCAGCATAGTCCCTGGGGGGAGCCCGGGTGCTTAGTCAGACTTCAGACCCCCAGGGCCAAGCCCTCCCGGGTCCCCCCCAGACCCCTCACCTGGCCAGCCGGTCAGAAAGGAGGAAATGCTGCTGGATGTTGCCGGCCAGGGAGCCCCGCATCTCCTCCACCACCTTGAAGACTCTCTTGAAGTTGTCAAACTGTGGGGCAGAAGAGGTAGCTGGGGTAGGAGGCCTGGGGTCCTTGTCCCAAGGGAGCTCCAAGAAAATAAGTTGTTAGCATCTAAGGTGGGACAACGCCAAGGGCTGAGAGCTAGGGAGGCCCTAGAAATTCACAACTCAGTACTGCCTCAATTTGACCTTCACTGAGAAGGGTCATGCAGTTTTCTTCTTTTTTTTAAATCAAATTAACCAACAGTTTATCTATTCTTTTTTTTTTATAATACCAGCTACTAGGTTTTTTTTTTTTATTAATAATTAGTTCAATGGTTTTCTTACTTTGAATTTTATTCATCTCTCCTTTGGTGTTCAGGATGTCCAACCTGGTGTATAATTGGGGGTTTTTATTTGTTCTTTTTCTAGTTTGTTTGTTTTTTAGTTGCATGCCATTTGTTGATCTGCTCATTTGGACATAGAAGGTTCCCCCTAAGTGCTGCTCCAGCTGCACCCCCAGATTTTAGTATGCTGTCTCAGGGAACTCATAGCAATGGCAAACGCAGAGCTGTCTTCAAGGATGTGAGGGGCGTACCGGAGGGAAAGGGACAAGTCTGGGGAGCAGGCCCAGGGGCCTTGAAAGGGACCCTTAAATGGACACCTGGACATGGTCCCAAGAGAGGATGAGCTGCCCTCAGGAAGAGCTGGACAGGTACTTCCTTGGGGGGTGGGGGTGGGAAGAGAGAACCCTCATTCCAGTTGGGGTCAGAGCAGTTTGCCTCTGAGGTCTCTTCCAATTCTGATACCCTGTGGTTCTGGGCCAGAAAGACCTGGGTTTAAATGCTGCCTCAGGCACTGCTGTCACCCAAGCAGTCAGCCTCAGTTTACCCATCTGTAAAATGGGGATAATAATAGCACCTACAGATTACATGAAATAATCACCACAAAAATGTCCTTGTCGGCTAATGTGTGACCCTGAAGGCAAGGTCTGGTAATTCCCAGAAATGGAGGCAAAGCTCAGAGGAAGGGGGAGTCCCATCCCTGGGGGAGGGGGGGGAGTACATTCCCGAAGTTTCACCATTTAGGGCAGGATGAGCACGTCATATTTAGCAGACAGAGCTGAGACAATATTCCAGAGGCACCCTGGTCAGAAGAGGCTGAAAGGGGCTCAGAGATCATTGTCTCTTTTCTCCCAACCAGCATTATTAAGTGCCTACTGTATGTCAGGCAGTAGGCTGAATCTCACAACCCTGAGAAGAAAGTAAGAAGAGGAAACTGAGGCAGGGAGAATCAGCTGACTTGCCCTGAATCACAAGGCTAGTAAGTGTCTGAGACCAGATTTGAACTCAGGGTTTCCTGACTCCAGGTCCAGCATTCTGTGCGCCTCTATAGAGGAAACTGAAGCCCAGAGAAGGAAAGGGATTTGTCTGAGGTCACCCAGTGAGTCAATGGCAGAGCTGGAATGAGAAGCCAGGTCCCTGGCCTCCCCACCCCATGCAGGAGCTGCATTCTCTGTAGTCCTGGCAGTAACTAGGACTTTAGTGGCCTTGGACAAGTTCAGTTGGGCTGGGGGTGGAAGTGGAGGGGCTGCCTCTTATAGGTGGGAAAGGTCCAACTCAGGGTGGGCCCCAGGAAAGAGCAGCACTGTCCAGAGAATGGACATAGGGAGGAAGCACACCACCTGGACAGGGCACCCTGGGATGAAGCCTCATTCTTTCTGTCCTAGTTCTAGCTCCGACTGGGAGCTAAGCTGAGAAAGGGGGCTCAGACCAGGAGGTGAAGGGATCTGAGTGCCCGTTGTCCAAGGCAGGTACTGGGGAGCCACCAAGGGTCCTGAGCAGATTACAGAGGCAGTGTGGGTACGACACAGGATAAGTGTGGGAGAGAGGCCATCAGAGCCAGGGTGGCGGCCCTCGCTAGGTGAGAGGCTGCTTGAAATGTCCCAAGAAAGGGAGGAGAGGCCACGGGGCAGAGAACAAGGGAGCACGGGGGCGTCCCGGGGCCAGACCATGGGACGGGGCAGGGAGGAAGGGGCAGAGCCCAGACAGCCCTGACCTGTCTCCTGCAGCTCTTGAGGGTCACCCCGGTCTTGGTGCTAATGTCATCCAAGTCCTTCTTGGTGCCCTTGGACAGCTTCTTTCCAAGCACCTCCCGGACAAAGGCTTCGTCAAAGGCGTAATACCTGCGGGAAGGGGGACAGGCCTTGAAAGAACAGGATGGGCGGAGTCTGGGGGCCTGGATGGAGGAGGGGAGAACCAATAGGGAAGAGGAAAGGGCTTCGGACCACTGGAGAAAGAAGCTGACAGTGGACAGGGCTAGTTGTAGCAGAAAGGCCCCGACTCTATGGGGATGTCTTGACCGGGGGAGGAGGAGGATCTTGGATGCGGAGGTGTTAAGGCTATGGGAGGGGGCAGGGCAGAGCAGGGTAGGGGTGCAGATCCTCAGGGGGTGGGGGAGAACATCGGGGAGAGAACTGAGGGACCCTGGGAGGGGGTTCATCGAGGGTGGGCCAGGATGGGCAGGGGGCGGGGCCTCAGGCAGCAGGGGCAGGGCCTCGGGACACCAGGGGCGGGGCCTCAGCGTCCCCACCTCTCGATGAGCAGGGCCTGCCGGGACGGCGGGATCTGGAAGACGAGCTGGTGCAGCAGCTTGGGTGGTGTATGCAGCAGGCGCTCAAGCATGTGGAACGTGCGGTAGTGGTCCATGGTGTCGCTCTGCAGCACGCCCGCCGTGGCCCCCGTCTGCTCCAGGATGCCCGAGCGCACCCGCAGCCCGACGGCATCGTTCACTGCGGACGAGAGGCGGCCATGGGGGCGGGCAGGGGCGCGCCCCGCCCCCACTCCCGCCCCCATCCCCACCCAGCCTCGCCCCCGACCCAGGGGGGGCTCCCAGCGCTCCCCCGCCCGCACCCGAGTATCCGTCCAGCCAGAGCCGGTACACATCCTCGTCGATGAGGGTCGTGTTCCCCACGAAGATGTCCAGCTCGTTGGTCATGTCGGAGCTGGGCGCCCGGACGCCCACCTGAGCCGACCGGACCCGGAGCAGCCACCGCTTCCGGTTGCAGCCGGGCCTCCACTCCCACACCCGCAGCGAACCACGGACCACTTCCGGTGCGGAGGGGCGGGGGCTGGGGGCCTCGGGGAGGGGCCGGAGGTAAGGCCCCGCCCCTTGCTGGACAGCGGTCCCGCCCCATTTCCTCTTCGGCCCCGCCCCGTCCTGAGAGCCACCCACAGCCCTGTGGCGCCGGAGGAAGGGGAAACCCAGGCACTGGGGAATTCCCCGCCCCCTCCGCAGCTCCTCTGCAGCTCCTCCTCCCCGTCGTCCTTCCCCACCCCCCAGCCCACAGGTCCCCTTTTCATACTGTTCTCCCCTTTACCAGTTTCCCCTCCCCCAGATTCTCCAGCTCCTCCTCCTTTCCCACCCCCAACCCACAGCTCCTAATTCCATACCCCCTTCCCTTTGCCAACCACAGCTTCCCGATCCCCGCAACCCACAGCTCCCCATTCCATATCCCCATTCCATATCCCCCTCCTCTTCACCAATCTCCCCCTTCCCCTTCCACAGCTTTCTCATCCCCCATCCCCCAGTTCTTCATGCCATATCTTTCTCCCTTTTTCCAATCTCCCCCTCCCCTTGTCCAAAGCTCATCCTCTTTCTCTATCCCCCACCCCCAGTTCTCCATTCCATATTCCCTCCCCTTTATCAGTCTTCCCCTTCCCCTTTCCCTATCCCCCCATCCCTCCTCCTCCCCACGTCACCCTTATTAGATCAGTAAATCAATTTAAAAAAACCTTTTATTAAGCAAAATGTATCAACACTCTAGGCGCTTCAGATACAAAGACAAATGTGTAAACAGCCCCTACCCTCCGAGAGTTTCTTTTTTCTTGGGGAAACTATGCATGCTCATAGAAGTAGATACAAAATCTATACAATGTTATTACAAGAGAATGGGGGAGGGGGAGGGGAGAGGGACTAGCCAGGGAGGGCTCAGAGAAAATCTCAGGTGGGAGGTGATGGGTCAGTCGAGATTTTAAAGGCTCCGGGGATTTTAAGAGATAGAAGTGAGGAGGAAGGGCATTCCAGGTGCCGGGAGTGGGGTGAGGGGAAAGCCTCTGTAAAGGCAAGGAGCCAGCAAGTAGGCCCGGTTTCTCCTCACACATCTCACCGCTCCACCTCCCCCATCCTTCTCCCCACCCTCCTTTCCTCCTCTCCCTCAGTCTTCATCTCCTCATCCCCTCTCATCCAGTCTCCTTTTCTTCCTCCCTTTTCTTCTAACCATCCTCCATTGGGGCCTCTCTCCTCCCCACCCCATCATCCATAAACCCTACCTTCCTCCATCCTCCTTTCCTCTGCCCATCTTCCTTTTCCGCAGCGCCGTCATCCCTTCTTTTTCCCTCCCTGCAGTCTGCCTCATCACTCCTCCTCCCGTTTATCAAGCCTCCTTCTTCTGGCTGCCCGGGTCTGCTGAAAAGGAGTCCAGCAGCCGCTGTGAGGGGCCCAGTTCTACTGGGACAGTCAGCCTCCCCATCCCACTCCGGGCTTACCTATTCCCAGCTTGGAACTTCGGGACTAGGCTGACATTCAGGGCGGGTGGGTAGAGCGGAAGGACTAGTCACTAGAAAGGAAAAGTGGAGCCCGAAAAAGAAAGAGAGAGCTGGGGGACTAGGACGCTTGTGTTCCACTGGAGACAAGATAGCGCCTCCAGGGAGGGACCTGGGACGGCATGGGTCCCCTCGGAGTGGAAGTGATGATACGATGGGAATCTAGACGCTTGGATTCAGGGTTCAGACAAGCCCTCGAAGGCATAGGACGGACAAACCGTCGAAGGACAGCGCCTTCGGGAAGGCACAGGGACTCCTCCTGGGTGTAGAGGTCAGGAAGGTATAGGACAGTGCCTTAGCGAAGGGAGCTAGAATCCTGGGTCCGGGGTCAGGTGATATGAGGAGAGCACCTCAGGCTTCGAAGGCAGGGACACCCGGATGCCAGGTTAGGGCACTGAGGACACAGCCCAGGGAGATGGACCGCTTGGAACTCTGAGCTTTTAAAGGAAACTAAATTAGAAGCCCTATGAGAATTGGTTCAGGCGGAGGTGGGAGGACAGCCCCCCGGGGCAGGTACCGGGCCGCCTGGGTTCTGGAGAAGTGAAAGCTCTTTAAGGACTGGGAGCTGGGACACGAATTCCGGATTCTGTTGGAGATGGAAGGATAATCCTCTCCTCACTCCCTCAGGCATCTGGACGCCAGGGTTCTGGGGAAAGTAAGATAGGAGTCTTTTGAGGATAGAACCTTGGGATACTTGATTCCAGGTTCAGGCAGAGATGCGAGGATAGCGCCCAGGGGCTAGGTACTGGGACGTCTGGGTTCTAGGAGAGATAAGATGAGAGCCCTTTGAGGACAGAGAGCTGAGACTTCCGGGCCCAGGGTTCAGGCGGAGGTTAGGACAGCACCCCCGGGCAGGTAGTGGGACATCTGGGCTCTAAGGAAGATAAGATGGGAGCCCTTTGAGGACAGAGAGCTAAGACTTCCGGGTCCAGGGTTCAGGCGGAGGTTAGGACAGCACCCCCGGGCAGGTAGTGGGACATCTGGGCTCTAAGGAAGATAAGATGGGAGCCCTTTGAGGACAGGGAGCTGGGACACTTGAATACTGGATTCTGTCAGAGATGGGACGATAATCCTGTCTCCAACCCCGCAGGCACGGGAACGCCAGGGTTCTGGGGAAGCTAGGATGGGAGCTCTGTAAGGATAAGACCTTGAGACTTCTTGTTCCCAGGGTTAGGCGGAGATAGGAGGATAGTACCTCAGGGCAGGCACCGGGACACCTGGGTTCTGGGGAAGATAAGATGGGAGTCCTTTGAGGACGGGAGCTCAGACTTCTGGGTCCAGGGTTCAGGTGGAGATGAGGCTAGCACCCCAGAGCAGGCACCGGGACGCCTGGGTTCTGGGGAAGATCAGGTGGGAGTCCTTTGAGGACCAGGAGCTGGGACACCTGAGTCCCGGATTCTGTTAGAGGTGGGAGGAGAGTCCCTTCCCCACCCCCACAGGCACGGGGATGCCGCGGTCCTGGGGAGCCCTGGGAAGCTAGGATGGGAGCCCTCTGAGGACGGGAAACTCAGTCGCCCGGGTCCAAGGTTGCGAAGCTGGGCAGAAAGGACCCTTCTCCCTCCCGGCTCCCCCTCCCTTCCCCTCTGGGGCCGGCGCCAGGCCTGAGCATCCCTGGGCGGGGCCCCCCCTCCCCGGGCTCCGCCGCGGTCCGACCCCATTGGCCGCGTCCCTGTGACGTCGGGGGGCCCCGCCCCGGGCCGCCCGCTCGCCCCCGGGCCCCCATTCTCGCCGCTGCCGCCGCCTCCGCCTCCGCCGCCGCTGCCTCGGCTCGGGCTCGGCCTCGGCCTCGGGGCCGCTTCTGCCTCGGCCTGGGCCCGGGCCGCCTCTGCGCCCCTGCCCCGCTCGGCCGGCCCGGGGGGCAGCGGGCCGGGGGGGATGCACCAGCGGGAGCCCGGCCGGGGGCCATGGAGGGCGGCGAGGCGGCGGGCGGCCCGGGGCGGCCGCTGAGCGACGCGGAGCTGGCGGCGCTGGCCAAGGAGGAGCTGGTGCGGCGGCTGCGGCAGGAGGAGGCGGAGAAGCTGGCGGCGCTGGTGCAGCGCGGCCGCCTCATGCAGGAGGTCAACCGGCAGCTGCAGAGCCACCTGGGCGAGATCCGCGAGCTCAAGCAGGTCAACCGGCGGCTGCAGGACGAGAACCGCGAGCTGCGCGACCTCTGCTGCTTCCTGGACCACGAGCGCCAGAAGGGCCGCCGCGTGGCCCGCGAGTGGCAGCTCTTCGGGGCGCACGCGTCCCGGGCCGTCCGCGACGAGCTGGCCGGCTGCTGGCAGAAGCTGGCGCAGCTCGAGGGCCGCCAGGACGAGCTGCTGCGGGAGAACCTGGCGCTCAAGGAGCTCTGCCTGGCGCTGGAGGAGGAGTGGGGCCCGCGGCCGGCGCCCGGGGCCGGGGCAGCCTCTGCCGCAGCCGCCGCGGCGGCAGCAGCAGCAGCAGCAGCAGCAGGAGGAGGAGGTGGAGGAGGAGGAGCTGAGGCCGGGGCCGAGTCTGGAGGAGATCCAGGAGGCCCCGGCCCCGACGGCCCGGGTGGTCCCGGACCCGAGCTGGGGCTGCCCCCGTGCGGGGCCCGGGACGTGGGAGACGGCAGCTCGAGCACGGGCAGTGTGGGCAGCCCGGACCAGCTGCACCTGGCCTGCTCTCCGGACGACTGAGCGAGCCCCTCAGCCCCTTATCCTGCCCAGCTGGGAAGCGGCCCCTGGGTGCCAGCCCCTGCTAAGTCCGGGCGGGGCCCCCCCGCGGCCCCAGCTCTGTCCAGCCCGGACGCGCCCTTGCCCTTGGGCAATAAAACTGCAAGAGATCCCAGCCCACGGGCCTGGACCGTGCGTCTGTTTGGGGACCCAGAGGCGACTCGGGGGGTGGGGGTGAGGTGGGGAGCCGGACCCCTCTGGAGATTGGGGTGATTTCCCTCAACGCCCAGCCGAGGCCCCTTTATGTAGTGGAAGGAGCCGGAACCAGAATGGCTTGTGCTTGGAGGTAGACCCCTGGGGAAACCTTGCAGTTTGAACCCCGCCCCTCTGACTCCGAGAAGATGGAGTGGGGAGGCAGCTGCCCCTGGGAATTAGTGAGGGAGCAAATCTTTAGTGGACACCCAAAGGCCGGGGCTCAGAGGGGTCTAGAGATTTCCTCAGCAAAAACTAGGCCCAGATCCAAGCCCTGAGGAGGAGCCCCCACCCTCTCCAGGCTCCTTCCTGCCCAGACCAGGATGTTTCTGTCGGAGACAATGGGGCAGGAAGCAGGTGGTGGGGTTTAAGGTCCAGATAAAGAGGAGCCTGAGGTGAACCCCCCACCCCTGGGACTTCAGAGCTGACCAAGGAGCAGGATACCTTGGGGCTTGGCTGGTAGGCCATTGGGATTGCAGGGAAATAGTGATTGTGGGGCACTGCTCCTCTTCCTGGCTAATGTCGAAACTATCCCTGTGGGAAAGGCAACCCCCCCATTCCCAAGCTCCCTGGAATCTTTGGAAGTACTAATTGAGAAACCAAGAGGCTTGAGCCCTACCCCTGGTCTAGCCACAAACTAGCCACCTGATCTGGGACAGAGGCCTCTCTTGGCCTCAGTTTCTCCATTTGTAAGATAAAGTTAGGTTGGATAATGCCTCAAATCCATTCCAACTCTGACATTGTGTGTTCTGTGTTCCAAGGTCACCCCTGCTCTGACATCCTTTGTTCTATGTTGTAAGGACACCGGCATTGTGTTCTAAGATCTTTCTGTGTCTGGATAAACTATGATTCTATGTGCTCAGATTCCTGGGTCCCAGGGAGACACCACCCAAAGCCAACCTTCAGTCCTTTTATTCCATTTGGCCAATTTATACAAAAATAGTCTCTTTAGGAAAATAAATAGCAGCCTCTCAGGAAAAGGAGCAGGTTCCACGTGGGGCTTGGGGGGAGCCTCTCTGAGCTTCGAGGGCCTAGGGCCACTCCAGCACATCGAGAAGGCGTGGGAGCTCTTCCAGACGTAGGGCCTGCCCAGTGAGAAGGGCACCAGAGCAAGGCGGGGGGGTGGCGGGGGGGGCTCCGCATCACCTATGCTGCCGGGAAGGGATTTTGTGTTTAGTGTTCTCTTGGACACCTGAAGCTACAGGGATGGAAGTTGGTCCCATGGAGAGCCAAGGGGCTAGGAGGCAGTGATAGCTCAGAATGGGGGTAGGGTCTTGTAGGAAGATTAGCAATAAGCCCTAGAGGACAGGGATGCAGGCAACTTGGCCCTGGAGCTCTGAGCTGTGTGTTAGGGGAGGGGAAGAGTCCCAAGAGCTCCTGCACATAGAAGGCACTTCGATGTTCCTTGCCTTGAATAGGATCAGTCTCAGTCTGAGCCCAGGGAGGTGGCTGGAGAGACTCCATGGTCCCCAAGATGCTCAGGACGTGCTAGGACAAAGGATGCCCAAGGTGGAGATGGGGGCCAAACGAGAAGGGGGGTGGCCTGGGTTGGCTGGACCAGGGTAAAGGTGACTGGAGCTCTTGGAGGCTCAGAGGGCCAGAAGTGTGGGAGAGCCCAGGGGATCAGAGCCAGGGTCCCCACTGCTGCTGCTGCTGCGACGATGGGCAGACGAACAGGGCTCTGGGGTCCCCGGGTAGGTGAAGACCAGGCTGGGAGTAAAGGGGGTCAGAGAGGGCGTGGTCATGAGAGTGGGCGTGTGCAGGGCCTCTGGCTCCAGAACAGGACCAGGGGAGAGGGAGATTTGGGGCCGGCGCCGGACAGGAGCAGTGGCACTGCCTGAGGCCCCCTCTGCTGGCTCAGCCTCTTCCTCCAACTCATTGGGGACCTTGCACACAGGGCGGTGAGCCTCCAGAACCAGCTGCAGCCGCTCTTTCTGCTTTTGCAGATCTTCGATCTCTTTCTGTAGCTCTGATTTCTCTCCTTCCAGTTTGTCTGTCTCCTGTGAGGAGAGGTAGGAGGTTGAAATGGGAGTCATCAGAAGCAGGGCAGCACCCACCCCACCCCTCCCCGCTTTAGCCTTCTCCTCTTGGAGACTGTGAGTCTCACCAAAGCCCCCAGGTTCTGGATCAGTCCAGACTACAATGCCCATCAGGTTCTGAAGGGTGAGGTTCATGGGATCACAGGAGTTAGGGATCTTTTAGGCCAACTCGGCCGTTTTACAGAGGAGGAAACTGAGGCTCAGATTAAGTGATTTGCCTCAGACCACCCAGCTGCTAAGTGAAGTTGGAACTTCAATTGGTATCAAGACTCCCTGACTGCCTTTACTCCATTCAATAAACATTAAGTTGGGGCAGCTAGGTGGCACAGTGGATAAAACATTGGCCCTGGAGTCAGGAGGACCTGAGTTCAAAATCTGGCCTCAGGCACTTGACACTTACTAGCTGTGTGACCTTGGGCAAGTCTCTTACCCCTCAACTGCCTCACCAAAACAACAACAAAAGAGTAATAAACATGAAGTACTGGGAGAGACAGAGTTTGGAGGGTACACGGTCTCCCGCCCCCAGGGAGCGCGAGGAGAATAAGACACAAACGCAGATGTCATTTAATAGTGTATGAGTGCAAAACAATGTCCTTGGAGATCAGAAGGGGAAGCGGCTGCGGGGACGGGGACAGGGGAGGCAGGTGGCAAAGTAGACAGAGCCCTGGACCTGGAGTCAAGAAGTCCTGAGTTCAAATCCAGCCTCAGATATTTAGCTGTGTGACCCTGGGCAAGTCACTTAACCATTGACTGCCTCAGTTTCCTCATCTTTAAAATGGGGATAATAACACCTATCTCTAATACTTTTAAGGTGTTTTGAAAACCTTCAAGCATTGTACAAATACAAGTTGAGGACAATTGTTTTTGTTCTGTATTATCAAAAAAGGCTTCCTGCAGGAGGTGGTATTTTGATTTGGGCTTTACAGGAAAGGTAGGAATTCAAAGGGCTTGGAGAGAATTTCAAGCAAGGAGACCAGCCTAAGCAAACGCTAAGAAGTGAGGCATGGACAAGGGGAAATAGGTAGTTTTGCTTGCCTAGAGAATAGAGTAAGAGGCAAATAGGGTAAAATTAGGTTGATAAGTTAGGGTAGAAGGCCTTGAATGCCAGATAAGGATCTGACTTTTACTTAGAGGGCAATAGGGAGCCACTGATGGTTCTGGAGCCTTCACTATTATTAACTCTCCCCAGGTCTGAACAAACAATAATAGCTTCTTCAGTGCTTCAAAGGTTTTCAAAATACTTTTTATCGCCACAATCCAAACTTTCAAGGTAGGTAATACAAACTTTATCTCTCCCACTTTGCCAATGGGAAACTGAGACTCAGATGGGGAGAGTCTGGGGACACTGTCAGTACCTGCATTCAGGCCTTCAGACTCCTAAGTACCCAGAAGCCAATAGAGAAAGCAGGACCCCCCCAACCCTTCTCACACACCCCCAGGCTCTGAGAGTCTTTGCCCTACGGCCTTATGGGATCTCGTCCTTTCACTTACTGCCTGCAGGAAGTCAGTCAGCTCCTTCCTCCTGTTCCGGCATTTGGCGGCTGCCAACTTGTTTCTCTCCCGCCTGACCCTCCTCCTCTCCTCCTCCTCGGGACTTATCTGCAAGGGGTTAGAGGAGAGGAACAAAGATGAAAACTATGATGAGTGGGAGGTGCTGCCCTGCAGCTGGGAAGGGGAAGGAGGAGGAACCCATCCATTCCTTATACGCTGGGAAGAGCAGCCCAGAATCAGAGGATCATGGAATCACTAAATTTGAGCTGAAAGGGACCTTAGAGGCTATAGAGGCCAGAGTCACATGCTCAGTTCTGGACATTATTGTTTCCAAAGGACATTGACTGACAGGGGAGTGTCCTGGGAAGACAACCAGGATAGTGAAGGGCCTTGAATCCATGTCATCTGAGGACCGGGTGAAGGAACTGAATATATCTGGCCAGAAAAAGAAAAGACTCAGGTTGGCCAAGGTCACTGCCAAACGCTTGAGTGTTTGAAGAAGGATTAGATTGGTTCTGTTTGCCCCCAAAGGGCAGAACCAGGAGCAGTGGGGCTAAGTTGTGGAGCCAATTTCATCTTCCTTTCCTACCTGTTAGACTGTTAGACCTGTCCTGAAGTAGGCTGGGCTTCCCTGAGGGCTGACTGGTCACTTATCAGGGAGCTTAGAGGCAGGATTCTTGTTTCTAAGGGCTGGACCAGAAGGACAAGGAGGTCCCTTCCATCTCCCAGATCCCATGACAGTCCAACCCCCCATTTGAAGCTCAGAAAGACTAAATGACTTGCCCTGTGTCACACATTGAACAAGTCAGAAGTGGAATTTGAACCTCTTTATGATTTTAAATGCCCCCATGAATGCCGCACTACGATACGATCTTCCAAAGGGACTAACTGAAGGGGAGGGGTCCTCACTCTTCCCCAAAATAAAGGACTCTCAGTCTATGGGCATCAAGCAACCCACATGCATTTATTAAGTACATCCCACATGCTGGTCACTGTGCCAGGCCCTGGGCATCCAAAGACAGCCTCTGCCCTTAAGGAGCTGGTGCAGGTCTTTGCTTGGGAGCAGAGACCAGGGCTATGGTGGTGTGTCCTGCGCCTTAGGATTCAGAAGTGGAAGAGAACTTGGAGTTCCTGTAGTCCAAATGCCTCACTTTAGAAAAGAGGAAACCAAGGCCCAGAGAGGGTAGAAAAGGCAGCTGATTTCAGGGAGCAGACCCAGTGCCCAGGTCCCTTATTTTCCAGGTGCCTCTGTTTCCTTCACTGTAAAAGGAAGGGATTGGACTTGTTGGAGGCTAGGCTTCAGCTCTAGGCTTAGGAACTCATGAAAAGGCAGCAAAGATCATAGGATTTAGGGGGGAAGGGTCCCCAGAGTGCAACCCCTAACTTTTCAGAG